GCCTCCGTCCCCCCCCGGGGGTAAATACCTTGCTGATGTAACCCCGGCCGTCATGTTTGTTCTGCGTTTCACCGGTGCGGGGGAGGGCAGAGCGCCCGGCGGGGGGGGGTGGGAGTGGGGGGGAACGACCTCCAGCAGAGTCGTTTCGGCCCCTGTCCTGCGAAAAGGGCCGTCTGTGCACAAACAGCATGAATCATGCGCTGGGCTCTGCCTCCCCGACCCGTTCCTGGCACAGCCCTTGCGAGCCGGGGCTGCGGAGCGAGGATCCGCCATGGGAGCAGCCCTGCCAGCGCCAAGTTCCCCTGGTGTAGATCCAGTCTTGCCAGTACCTTGTGTTTTGTTTGGAGAAAGCTGTTCTCCCCTATTAAACTCCATCCCTGAGCTCGCCTGAGACTTAGTGGGGAGGTTGGGGGAAGGCAGGCAAATACCAGAAGGAGAAACCACGGGAAGAGTTTTCCACCCAGGCATTCCTGCCCAGCGCGGTTTTGGGTGGGTGCTGCCCAGTTCCTGCTGAACCCCTTCTCCGCCACAGTCTCTTATTTACTTTTGTCCGGGGTTTATTTTTGTCCCTCAAAAATAGACGTGTTTTCATTAATAAGCTCTTTGTTCATGTTGCCGTTTGGCTTAGTGTTATAAATTTACTTATTTTGAAGCACAAAATTGTTAATAAATCCATTTAGCCCCTAAAGAAAATGGCAGTAATTACAGTCCTGTGAAGCATACTTCTAGAAAACATCTGTCGCAACAAGTTTTGAGAAGTTGAATTAGAAAAAAATCCTTACAAGCTAATTAATGACCATTCCCTTAATGTTCCAAAACATTGAAGGGCTGAGGACAAGAGAAGCACATGATGTCCAAAGCAGGCTTTAATCAAGTAGAATAGGAAAATTGAAAAGTAAAGTTGGGCATGTTTTTTTGTTTTTCTTTTGAATGCATTTGTTAGAGGATTTTTTGGCTTTTGTACTCAAGTGGCTTTGGTTGAGAGAAATTCTTGTGACTTGGAAGAACAGTTCGTTTCTCAAACAAGTATCTTTCTTGTCAGACGAGCGTGCTGTATCTATACCTTATCTCTGACCTTCGGTCTGTTAGGACACCAGAACAGGTACTTTCAAATCTTGGCAGCTGGCAGGAAGCAAGGAGAAGGTAACATTCCCAGAATAAGTTAGGTTGTTCATTTTGGCAGGAAAATGGGAAAGGAAGAGAGAGAAAATAGAGGGGAAAA